AAAAAAAATGGGCGTAAACGAAATGCAAAAAAAATATCATACGATATGCAACTTTAAAACCAATGCACTATAAATCAAAATAAAAAAGTATATTTTGGACTACCAAGTACCGCCATTCGTCGCTAGATGGCGTTTAACAATGCCATCTAGCGACGAAAAGTGAACTTTAACATTGTAAGAATAAAGGTGATATTTGAATGTCTTATCACTGGCTCGAATGCGGGTCTCTACTCAGATAGTGATGTAGCCTAATTCGATAAAAATAATATCGATAATATGAAAATGTGTTTTAAAAATAATATGAAAAAAAAATATTGACTGCTATAGTGTGACAGTATTAAAATAATAAAATTAATATATCGATGATAACTTTTTAAACGTAACAAAAAAGTGTCAGTATTTATTTACATGTAAATCAAAAACCATTTTGTTCGTAATCTTTATTACTTTCTTTTTTAAAAAAAACATTTTTTTTTTATTTCATAAGTAACAACTATTACATAAATTTTTACAAACTTTATATGGATAATGTGATAAATGAAAGGGATGGCGATAAGGATGACGGTGCTGATCTGCTCCGTGAAGTGAAGGTTGCTTCCAATCACGTCGGGGTCACCACTAAAATAATAATAAAAAAATAATCTAAATAAATGTTACATTACTTACATTACACTTGCATCGATATCAATCGATAAATTCAATATGTGATTTGACTACATCACTATTTGAGTAGTGTAGAACTGGCGAGAATGTTCTATTGAATGGAATAAACCTAAAATAAAGTTTATCTTGAAGGCGTAAGGTTGATTTTGACTAACCGTTTTAGTAAATAATATTATTTTAACATGGCGATTGCTAATGGAACAAATATTCCATCTAAGTTTTAAAGTACATTAGCTAACATATTAGTATCTTTAAATTTCTTTTTATTGTCCATCTTATTCATTTTGGTAAAGTGGTACAAATACTTCCAGATATTTATTTAAATTCTCTATAAATTATATTTTTAATCTCTACTTAACAAAAAATACAATAATCACAATTTTCGTTGCCATACTCCTCCGAAACAGCTTGACCGATTTTGATGAAATTTTTTGTGCTTATCCGGTATCTATGAGATTAATGCCGGAATACTGAAACGTTACTCAATTTTAAGTCGCGCTTAAGTATAATTCTGTCTCTACAAATTCATCCTTCACTTGCCAGAATGGTGTTCTGGCAAGTGAAGGATGACATTAGAATTCTCTACTACGTGCCGAGCGCCTATGCTACTTTTATTAATTATGGTTTTTACAACTATTTGCTCTTTCAATTAGAACAGGCGTTTACGCCTGAACATACTCCCGGCCGTTGAAACATAGCTTTCAACCGCTTAAGTCTTCAGCTGAAGGAAGTTTGCAGAGTCGCACAAAGGTGCGTCGCACGCAGCCCTTGGTGGTGAGAATGTCTGCCACTCTGGATATGCCGTCAGGGCGAAGTACGCGACCCAGTTTCCAAACAAGAGGGGGCGCGGTGTCCTCAGCTAGCAGCACCATATCTCCCACGTCCAGCTTAGCTGTATTTGTCCGCCATTTTGTCCTTTGTTGTAACTCAGAGAGGTATTCCTTCTGCCACCTTTTCCAGAAATGTTACCTCAACTTCTCAAGGCGCTCATAGCGTCGCATGTAGGTGGATAACGAACCTAATTTTTTTTTCTGTCTGTTTGTCTGTACCTACGTTCATGCATCAGTGCATCGCGCAAAAGATTACGATGAAACTTAGTATGATTATACTTTAATATCCTGGGCACATCACTGCATACTTTTTATCCCGAAAAAGTATATACAAACTAACAAAACTAAACTAAACAAAAAAAAACTTACTTGTGCGGCTCAATCCCTAGACACAGTTTGATTTGATTTGATTCAGTCACATCAAAACGACTGAAGGGACTGGAATGAAATTTAGGACAGAGGTAGATAATGGTTGGGAGTAAGACATAGGCTACCGCTGGGAACACGGACGAATCCGCTGGCAGGCTTTTGTCCCTCGTCCCTTTTATAGAAATGTAAATTAAGTTTAAATTGAACAAAAATAAAAATGCCTATACCGATTTATTTTACATAACCTGCTGAAAAACGCAACTCGGATTTTATTTATTTATTAAGAACAAACCTAAATAATCACACCTGGGTATGTTGTCTACTCAATTTTATTCAGTCTATAGTATTTTATAACACTTCTTTATAATCTGAAAATAATTAATTTAAAAAAAAAAAAATTTAAAATTCATAGCCAGAGACAGCATTAGGAAAATCAAAACGTCACAACGGCACGTCAAAAGTTGAAAGATTGTGGGTTGTGGAATACATTGATTGTATTTATTTAGGATTTTCTTATTTTCAAGTTGTGTGGAAATATTGTGACCTAAAAGAAATTTCCATGAAATTTATGGATTTCAAATCTCCGTTTATGTGCTGCGTAATGCGATGTGATTAGAATATTGGTGTGTAATCCGCTTTGGACCATGAAATCCAGTAAGCGAAGGCTCCAGGCCCTTACTGAAGGATCTGATGGACTGCCTAACTACCTGAAGATGGAGGATTCCGAAACATCTATTCCACCTGTATTTAGATCACGTTTACACGAATTATTTTCTCAAATAGAAAAAGAGTTTGACCTTCTTTACACAGAAAATCTGAATCGTAAGTGTAACTAAAGTATACCTAATAATATTTATTTTATTATTTTGAAGTTACAGTATGTTGCTATTTATGATATATTCCACTATAAGTTACCGTTTGCTTGTATTGTTATGAACTGTGAGCAACATAAGTTGTCCAATAAAGGTAGGTATAATGTTGACATTTGGATTTATTCTTGTGCAGTTCTTACATTTAAATGTCTTTTGTATATTGTTATTCAAATGGGGTTTTCTTGTGGAATTCAGTTTTTGAAAGGTTGTATCCATAATTATATTACCATTTCTCTTAAAAAAGTCATAGTTTAGCAATAGCATGGTTCTCATTATCCAAATGTTCCCACCCAAACATTTTATCATGCTTGCATGCGTGCACCCCCACTTCCATGGTTCCATGTTCTAAGTTCCATGCTTGCCAAAGGCTATCATATCTATATAAATAAAAATGTATTTCCATTAGTTATTCTCGCTGAACTGTTGTGCTAGTTTTGGTCTTAAAATATTCGTGGAGATCCAAGGAAGGCTTAAAAGGTGAGGAAAAGGAGGTTTTTGAGGTGGTACGAAGTTTGCCAAGTCAGCTAGTTAAATATATAAAATCATCAGCCAGAAGATGGCCACTGCTGATCAAAAACCTCACCCATAGCCCTATATGTTGAATAACACTAGGTTATTGAATATGTACATACATACATACATACATTATATATAGGCACAGATTATGGAACAACAATTGCTATGATTCTTACATATCTCTTTTGGTTGCACATGTCTGATAACATTAATTAACAATAAGTTATTTAGCTCTGTCAGCAGATCTCTTTTGCTAAAAACAGTAACTTATTAGAGGTAGAACGGAGAGTTAATCAGACTTGGAATAAATACTGGAGTCTTAAAGAAGTGTTCAAAAGCGACCTCCCAGTGGAACTAAAAAAGAAAGTAATGGATTCAAATCTGCTCCCATGCTTAACATATGCATGTCAAACATGGAAATATAGCACCGCTGTTAAGAACAAAATTATCTCGTGCCAAAGGGGAATGGAGCGCAGCATGTTCAATATCAAAAAACAACACAGAATCCGTCACTCAAAAATTAGAGCGAAATCCAAAGCAATTGACGCAGTTTCATATGCACTTAGACTAAAGTGGAAATGGGCAGGTCATGTAGCAAGGTTACAAGACAA